CTCTGAAATTAAGCATTGTTCTGAGGTCCATTTGAATTCTACTTTTATTTGATGGAGATATATTTTAAATGAGACAACTTTATTTCTTAACTTAATGCGAGTCTAATAATTCTGAATCAGTGGGCAAATATGACATTTTGAAAAAAGTCTATAAAGATTTTTCTCCATCCCTGCCGTTCAGTCAGACATGGCAGATGGGGGCTGCACAACCATCCCGTTTGAAGATGCTTGTCGTAAGAGGCGACTTACAGGATCGGGTGGTCAGCCTCGATGACTTGGTTGATGCATGTCATCGATCCCAATTGCGTGGATCTATGCTCGTGACATCAATCACTGGATTGTCTGGTCCAGACTCGATTATTTTACAGACCGCCGTCATATAGCTGGAATATTGCTGAGTGCGGCGTTAAACAACAAACAAACAATCAAAACAATTCACGGTGCGGAGTTGTCTCCATTTGCCATGAAAGGAATCGCTGGTTATGGGTTCGAAGTTTCTGTCATAATGGACCATACCTTTGTTCACCAAAGTGGAAAACGCCTTAAACCTATTCACTCATCTAAATAACGGCCAGTCTCCTTGGTGTAGTGGATACTGCATAGTGCAGAGTTGCGTCCCTTGGGCACGACAGAAACCTATGGTCGTTGGTTCAAATCCCAGTCCGCCCCGATTATGTTTCTAGGTTTGTCATACCCGTGCTCATGGGTTTCACCAAAGTGATAAATATCTGAGACCTGCATCAGTTCGGGTTTTCCTCCCACATTAAGCTGACACGCCGTGATATGACTGGAAAACTGTTCAAAGCGGCGTTAAACCGCACTCACCAATCTGCGACAGCTGTCACGTAAGACCTCCTGTACAGTACACCTAGTTAATGAATGTACGGGTAAATTGTTAAACGTGGTAACAGCAGTATTCCAGTTACAAGACGGCGCCCTGTAAATACTAGAGTCTGGGTCAGACAAACCAGTGACCGATATTGTGAGCAACGTTCCTCGCAAGTGGGGTACGGTGACTCGCAATCTACCCCGTTACCGAGTCTGACCACCCGCTCCATTCCGTGGCCTCCTTCGACCCACACAAACCCGAATGCTCATGAGGCGCAAGCATACGACAGGTAATGGGAGGGGTGTTCTGGCATTTATTTTGTGTTGTTTTGTGAAGTAAATATATTAATTGATTAATGTAAATGAAATAAGTAAATAGTTTTGGTAATAAAAGAATGTGTGGAATATTGTGTCATTACTGCAAAAAACCCATTCCTGTTACCAAGAACAGGGTAAAAGGTTCTTTGTGCATAGAAACATTCTTTTGTGTTTAATTCTTAAAATATATTATTAAGTAGATTATAATTTCCTTCCACATTAAGCTGACGCGCCATGATATAACTGGAATACTGTTCAAAGCGGCGTTAAATTACACACACAAGCATAGCTCCAGAATATGTGATGTGATGTTGGTTTTCTCAACATCCCACTGAATTGATAAACTTGTTACACGATGAAACCAATATTCTCCATTTCGCAAACCTCTCTGTATAGAAACGTAAAAGTCCCTTTCCAGGGAAATATCAAACCCAGTGGTATTTCATGATGCTTGTGGAATGTTTGTATTTCGTGTTATCAAGTCAGTTTACTTCCTTTGTATGTTAAAGTACTACAGTAGAAAGCTGTCTAAAGAAAAGTTCATATGCTAAGACATATTCCAGTGTCACGAAACAAATTCACACTTTTTGTTCCATCTTTACAGGGTCCGTCAAACAACCGAAATATATGCCTGCAGTTATCTTTCCTGATGCATGAAAAAGTTCATGTTTCTTGTGAATGACTGTTAAAAGCAAACCATTACAGCTTGCTGCCACTTCCTTGTGTTGGTGAGGTTTGAGCTTGTCACGTGTCACTCGCCTACCCAGGGTTCCTTGCGGTCAACCTCGATCCAATGCCATTTCAAGGAGATGTGGCGATTCGATTCCATTTGATTTTCATCTTTGAAAAGTCTACACACTTAGATAAAAATATGATGAAATGGTTAACTTTCATTGAAAAAATATCCTAAAAGGTTAAAAACTATTTCCATTTGCGTTGTTATCCTTTGTCTTACAATAGGTGTGGGGCTCCACATGCAGATATCAAAGCCCTAAGGATAGTTAGCGGTACGATCACTTTAAAATGTAAAGATATATTGTCATACGCCTCACTGTCGCCGTTGCAGAAGCATATCTTTATTTTTGTGCAAACAATCTGCAAAACACGCTGAAAGGCTTCCACAGAATAAGCGCGTTTGTTTACTACCAAGTGAAAAGTCCGACCACGTATTATGCAAATTTGCTTGTGGGTGTGGTGTCATGCCAAATCATCACTGCGCTGAGTATGTTGCGCATGCACCTGTGAAGTCCCCCGTCATGTAAACTGACTACGTGATGGTCTGAACATAAACTAGCGGCGAATAAACTCTCCACAACAACGCTGGGAATATACACCTGATGTAAACTACACATTTAATGTGTATTAACGTGAACAAAGAGTAATCATCCATTTCTACCCGTGCCTATCAGTTAAGGACAGATATGTTGAGGTGTGTAAGTCAGGGCAATGTGGAAACATACGGGTCAGCTATACACGTCTATGTATGTCTATATGTGTATGCTATACACAGGTTGCCAGTTTGGTCACGTAGGTTAGAATATAACAGTACTATTCTCGATTAAAACGACCCAAATATACTATAGACTGCACACACTGTCATTAAAATATAACTAGAAAACAAAAGGAGTCCAAAAAAATATTTTGAAAAGGAACAAAAAACATTTCCATGATCATAAGAAACCTCAACTAAAAGCACAGCCCATTGTCGGGTTCCGGCTATTTCATACGCATTGTGTTATATATTATTTGCAAGAATAATCTTTCTGTAGGCGTTGGAATATCCTCTTAAATATGATTGGTTGTAAAAACTGCCGTATCAAACAATACGTTTTAAAGTAATATAAGTTAAATACTCCCCTTAACACCCAGTTGTCAAAATGATGTATGAGCTTCATTTTAGTCTTAAGGAAATAAAACTGAAGAGTAATATCCAAATCCCTGAATGAACCACAGTGCGTGGCGTAGTATGTTTTCCTCTGATAAAGATTCCTCTACGTTGATTGGTTTATTATTTCCAAATCTTACCTAATACAAACAGCCTTGCAATACCACTCAGGTATAAGCCTCTCGTTCCCAAGACCAGCGGGGTTAAGCTGTCGAGATATTAGATTCTGAAATATGCAGAAGCAAGGATAAAACTTTCTCTCACAAAAACAAATATTCAGGTACGTAAAATGAACCGTATTTGGTAAACCCAGCATACATACATTCAGCACGATATGGCTATTGCACGGGCTGTATAATAAGTATCAAATAGTCATTCCATCATTCCTGGTGTTACTGGGAGAAAAAAGTCATTTTATTATTTTTTTGTAAAGCCATTAACGCATCTCATGCGTCAGTCGCATTCTATTCTCTTTCAAATCAGTGTTTGGTGCTTCCTTCAAAGAAATGAAAAATACAACTAAAACGACATAACATTTTACTAAGATATTCAACACTACCATCTCCGGGTCAAAAGTAGACCAAATTGCCATTAGACATATTATTTTATTGAAACATATTGTCTGTAAATGCGAAACCCTCTCAACACGATGGTTTGAAGGGAAATCGTGGGGGTTTCCCACCCTCAGTCTGTTTTTTCAACTATAAACTATTAATCGATAAGTAACGCTGCCGAGTCGCATTCCAGCTTGTGATGGAAACGGACGTTTGGTATAACGAGGTTCCACGGTATTCGCGAAGTATGTTCCATTTCATAATGCTCACGTAAGATCTCGTTATGTGTGAGTTAGTTTTTCATCCAACTTGTTATAAACTAATAGAACTAAATAATCTTCACGGAAAGACCATTTCCTTTTAGCAGTGATAACAGTGACTTTTACATTTATAACTTGTTTATATCTAACATGACGGCCTGTACTAACACACACAGATGACTCCACAGCCAGGTGGGCATACACGTGCACGTAGATGTTAATTACGGCACAACATTTGCATTAGAATTCGGAAGAACATGAAGACGTTAAAACCCTTATGAAAAAAATATTCTTTTCTCTTTGTCACGAAGAACCGTTTACCATTAATCACATAAGGAAAGGTAAAAAGTAGCCATGAAACGTAGTTACAAACAAATAAGTAATTTATTTTAATTATACACAAAAAGTTTCATGTAATCTTTTCACACATTATCATTAAAAGTTATATAAAATTATTTCTAAACATATGGTTGTAAAACAAAAAATCGAATAACGTCAAAGTCCTACTTATTCAAAGTAGCTCACGAATCAATGAAAAAGATAGTTCACTTTATATTTACAAAACGATATTCATTTTCAGATTGAATATGAATGACTACTGAAGCAAATGAAAGCCGCATCCGGGTTAGCCTGTCTTCCACTGAATAAGGATCTTCCATTGTATGTTAACTGTTATGATCTACAGTAATAGATCAACATAATCTACAAATATCTTTTGTGACATTCTGCAAACCCCTTTCGGTTATAAGCACAATGGATCGCCACCTGTTGTAAACAACGCGATAGTGAGCCCGACTGTATGGGAGACGGTATCTGCCGGGACGGGAATGAGTGTCCGCCATTTTGTTTACACAACACAATACATCAACCTCGCTGAGCCGCTACCGAGACTTCACAGCTAGTCCCGCCATGTCATGCTGACGAGCCCCAGGCTATAAATAGCTGACGGGGCTAAACTGACCACGTATCATTTGCAAATGTTCACCAAATTGCACTGTCACCCGTTAAACAATATGTCCAGTTGAAGTAAATTTGTTTCGCTCTCTATGACACCCTACCGCATATCTTCTCTCAACTACTTCCTGTATGCACACTGCGCATGTGACGGTAATCTTCATAGGCTCGATTATCCATACAATGAGTTTTCCTTTTTGTGAGTAGGCTCAGCTGTTCTAACGAGTCCTGCCATGCGTAAACCTTATTTCCGCCTAGTAATGCATGATGGTTACAGGAATGGGCGCCATTTTACCGAATGTTCCCGAAGTTTTTGTGTTCTGAAATCATAGTAATACGTACTTTTACAGCTTTTCAAGTAAGTCCACAGTTTTGCAGAACTGAAATGAAGGTTTTATATGCTAAAATGTACAGCCAAATAACGTGTTTTTGAGATCGTTTCAGAACCGTGCTTGTGTTTTTGAAAGAACATACGACTCTAGCATCTGTGTGGCCAATATCACCTTTTGATATCGAAATAAAAGATCTACGTATATTAATTAAAGCCTATTTATTGTCGTACCATGACTGTGTATTGATATTTCTCATCCAAAGTGAATTTGTTTACTCGAAATGCCGATATTAATATACCGGAAGCTCAACAAGTTCAACAAAATGGTGACCCCCAAAATGGCGGATACTTTTTAGGGGACTCTTTGTATTAGACGTGGAAACTAAGAAGATTTTTACATCGTTAAGAATACTCATTGGACTATATGATGCCACAGAAATAATTGTTTTAAAGAAAATGGACAACCATTATAAGTAGATATCTAGATCAAGTTTATGTTATTCCAAAAATGCAAGGTCATTTTTCTTTTGGCTGATTTATATAGATTTTACTCACACTCAATTCAACAATTCACCGACAATTGTTTATGGTTTATTTTTTGGGGGTTATTTTAGTTTATAATTTCATGACTTTTCTGAAAATGCCGATTTGACTCACTTACTGAAGATGAGGGTAGAGCAGAACTCCTAAAACCGATGAATGTTTCAAGATGAAAATTGCTATACAGATCAGTCTAGTGGTGAACTTGTGCCTTTTGATGATTTTGGATTTTTAAAAATAATGTTTTCATGACGACAGGTGTGAATGTACTGAAAATAAGGGTAGTGCTCGTTTCCGGAGCAGAAAAAAATGACTATATCTGGATGAAACTTGCTACGCAGATGGTGGTGAACCTTTGATGATTTGGGATTTTGAAAAATACTGAAGGGGGGGGGGGGGGGGATATTTCTTTACTTCCGCAAATCCTTGGAAATCTTATTGTCTTTTCAATATTTGCTTATTTGTATAATGGGAATCACCTTGGATTGTGTCAATGAAATGTCTTCCTCGCCATCCCTTCGAATATATTGACTTGAATGTTTTTGTATACTTTAGAACCGGGACGATGCAATTAAAACAGGTTTCAATTCAGAGAAGAGTATATGTGCTCGACGTTGTGTTCGAGCATGCATATTAATGATTTGTTAAGTAAGTAAACATTCGGACAATACAGCTCAATACAGGCGCAACCATTAACTCAGATTTTTTAATTGAAACAAAATGAGGGGCACGGGTGGCCCAGTCGTCTTAGGCGCCGCTATTCGCTGTGCAGAGTTGCGTCCCTTGGGCACGCCAGAAACCTATGAATATTGGTTCGAATCCCGGTTCGCCCCGATTATGTTTCTAGGTTTGTCAGCACAATACCCGTGCTCGTGGGGTTCGCCGAAGTGGTAAACATCTGAGACCTGCATCATTTGGGGCTTTCCTCCCACATTAAGCTGACTCGCCGTGATATCACTGAAATAATGTTAAAAGCGGCCTTAAACCCAACTCACTCACTCACTTGAAAGAAAATGAATTAGTGTATTTATAGTACTCACACTCGACCGCGTAGGTTGTCGAATGTGATCAAATTCATTTATGTTACATTTAACTCTGACCACGATTCGCTCGGGCGGAATTATGTTTCTGGTGTGCCAGAATCCAAAGATCGGCACAACGGAATATATATATTACATAGTATATTATTAGATTAACATTTCCAACTTTCATTACGAAGGCTGAAAACGAAACGGTTCCGTAATCAGCTCACGGAAAGTCGACAGCTTGCATTAAACAAAAAAAAAGACCCTTCATATGATCTATTCGTCTGTAATAGTTTCTGTGCATGTTTCAGGGTATCAATTATTGGACGCGTTGACACCCTTACCATGGTGATTGCACAAGAAGCATAAATGATTGTTTAAAACAAAGAAGTGGGACATGACTTCTTGTTATTTTTTAGTTGAAATAGTTTATACGATCATTAATTCTCATTCTCTTCACAGGCGATTACAGAATAAAATATTTGGAGTATTTTTGTGATCAGCTTTGTCAAGACTTTTGTCTATTTTATATATCTGTATTATAATACATGGGGGCCATATATGACCATATTCCAAGTTGTGCTTAATCCCTATTTGTATATATGGACCAAGAGTGAAAACATACCAGGTTTCATCACCAAGGACGCACTGTTGAACTGGTGCGTGTTTCCCCTAGTATTAGAAGAAGCCTGATTGTTTTTCGTTGCAGTCAGCAATATTCCACCTATATCACGGCTGCATGTAAATAATCGAGTCTGGTCAGTGGTTGATATTATCAGCCACGCCCTAAGCTGTATGGCTACGGTGACACCAGTCGACCAATTCACCGGGCGTGACTATCTGATGCTCTGTAAGTCTTATGACATGAAGAACGTATTGTGATCTCCAAGAGGAGAAACCTGAGTGTTAGTGATGGATTTTCTTCAGATGTGCAATTGGAGAGTGGAACTCTTGTTTGTTTTATTTTTAAGGCCACACTCAACAATTTATCAGAACAACAATCGAATCTGGATATGACAATCCACTGATTGATATTATGAGCAACGACGCCGTCGGAGTACGTTGCCAGGCAATTAACCAAGTCACCGAGCTTGACCACGCTGGCCCATTCATAAATCCGCCTTCTGGTGTGTGTGTGTTGGGGGGGGGGGGGGGGGGGGGGGGTGTCGAGGAGCAATTTTAATTCAGGCTCCGACTTTGTTGACAGCTTGTCCTCAACTTCGACGGCGTGGATTATTTCTCACAATATAGATCACTGGATTGTCTGGTCCGGACTCGATTATTTACAGGCGGAGTGCGGCAGTAAACCATGACCCCACAAACATTGATATGCATGCAATATTTAAGAAAGTGGCATGGTCGATGGTTTTATGGACCTGCGTTTCCGGTTTTTGGATAGTGTTATGTAGATATTTGACAGTGGCACATGCCTAGAACTATGCCTGCCGCGACCAGTAACCAATGGAACCTGAATGAGTGAAACTAGAAGTTGATGAAGTGAGCAACCATTGGGATAAACACTCTGACTGATGCCCAAACTGTTCATGGTCTGTGGAAGCGACAGGTAGAATTCATACTCATCATTCATTGTGCCCATACAATGCCCTTAACGACAGATCATCTCATGCCATCCAAGGGACTTTTATACTAAACGCTGTCATTTCTGTTTTCTCTCTGCAGCTGCTTTCAATTCCTTATGTATGACGTCACATATCGCTACTGCATCAGCGAGCACAATGACCTTGCTGACCCATGGCAAGGTAACGGCAACAACACAAGCACCCACGACATCTTCCACTACGATGTCATCGCCAGCAAATCCCCCGTAAGTGCATTGTGAATGTGGTTTGGTTTAACGCCGCTTTGAACAGTATATCAGACATTTTCAGTTACATCATGGCGTCTCGGCTTGAAATGGGAGGAAAATCCGAGGTGATGCTCTTATTAGGAATAAGTCACTTTGGTGAAACCCTCGGGATCGAGTATGGTGTGGACAAAACGATAAACATCAGGTTGAAACGGGATTTGAACCTAGGATCATAGGTTTTTGACCCTCCAAAGGGACGCAACTCTGAACAGCGACACCAACACGACTGGGCACGGCTTGCATCCGGAGGTGTGAGGAGAGTCTGAGTATATTATTGCAGTGATAACACCATCATTACATGCGTGCCACTTTTATTGAAAATTAAGTAACATCATTCTGAAACTGAAAAGAATTATGTTTCCAGGACGAGAGAGCCACATATTCGCCCAACCTCCACACTTCCTTTCCGGAGCAAAAATTCGAAATGTCATAATCCTTGCAATATATTAAAATACGAGACAGTTCCAGTTGCATCTGTAAACATCTATAATTAAAATATAATTATTTTCGGCTTTTGAAAACAACTACTTAAAGCAAGGTTTGTTTCAAGAACAATGAAAACGTTATGTTCCTGTACTTCTGAGTAAATCGTCTGAAATAGGTACCCAGGCAATATTTGCTTCAGTTTCGTTGTTTTTAGTGTTTTGAAGCAATATATAGACCTATGCCTGTCTGAAATTTATATCTAGCTAACTATGAACACAGGTAAAATAAACTTTTGACATTAAATATCAGCCCACTGAAATCAAGGAAGAAACGAGGAACCCTCTGCTGAAACCTTTCAAGAGCCAGTATTGTGTTGTTTCCAAAAGACATGACAGCCATACTGAAAATTATATAATTTTGGTCCATTAATGCACTCCGTCAATTTTTGTATTATCATAATATGTCAAGTATATGGTATGCATTTGTTATGATGTGTCTTTTATGCGTTTTGTTAATTTGTGACCCCGCCATGACCTTTGAATGTCATATCATATGTACATAACCCCCTTTCTGTAGATTTGCTTATTTTTGCTGCCCCCTCCCCCCGAACACACACACACACACACACACACACACACACACACACACACACACACACACACTCACAGAGTTTCCGAAGCTGAATCTCAATCCAATTTAAGATATGGCGACCATATCGAGAATGACACTTGTCACTCAGTCATTTGTGCACTATCTTTGTAAAAGTCTGAAAACATAAGTCACGTGACAGGACGAGCAGGGCTCACCCCCACCCCCACCCCCTGAGTATTCATTGAAATGTTTTCAGTCAAGTCTGTTGGCAATTTTAAACCAGTGAATTGACCTTGATTTGCTTCTGTTCACGTGCTGCCCCAAATGTGTTACTTGATTCATAAGCTCACGACAGCGATACAAGTTACAATAAAGGAGACGTAGTTGTTTATTGGCACTGCTGTGGAGGTTCTGTGTACATGATGCCTACATTCCGTCAGTAAAGACAGATCTATGAAGACGTATAGGTTAGCAAACAGAAATATGTTACATTAGGCATGTGCGGTGTGTCGTAATATGTACGTTCATGTGCTGAACGTGTTGAAATGAACAAAGTCTAGCACATTCATTCATAATATAATATTTTTTGCAATACAGTCCATTAAAGAACCGATGCAATGTAACAGATCTGATAACTTTCATAATGATTTCAACCCGTGGAGATCCAGGTTAGAATAGGTCTTCAGCAACCCATGCTTGTCGTTTTTTAAGAGGTGACTATGCTTGTTGAAAGAGGCGACAATCGGGATCGGGTGGTCAGGCTCGCTGACATATCAATCAGTGGAGTGTCTGGTTCAGACTCGATGTTTTTCACTGACGTGATATAGCTGGAATATTGCTGATTGCGGCGTTTAACAACAAACAAACAAACAAAACAAAAATTCCTAATGATTTCTAAAAGCTTTTGTTCATATTTTCAATCATGTTGAAAAAGTTCTACCAACTTGTCTACCAAACTACAAGCTGTTTATGGTTCATTGAATGTAGATGCTGTACACTTGTGTAGAGTTGTTTATCGCTGCATATTATTGTTTATCCTCGTGTTGACCAGAATGATCAATCATGCCATGCATGCGTTAGAGGAGATACAAACCTTTTCAGTTTAATTAAGGTTTCAATGGAAACAAAATCAATTACATTGAAAGAACTGTTTTTTTAAAAACATTTTCAACATATCAGCCCGCCAATAGACACATACTGAACTATAGAATATTAAACATGATTAAAAATATAGAATATAGGTCTTCAGCAACCCATGCTTGCTGTATAAAAGGCGACTATGCTTGTCGTAAAAGGCGACTAAAGTGATCGAGTGGTCAGGGCCTCGCTGACTTGGTTGATGCATGTCATCGATCCCAATTGTGTGGATCGATGTTCATGATGTCAATCACTGGGTTGCCTGGCCCAGAATCGATTTTTACCGACCGCCGTCATACAGCTGAAATATTGCGAGTGCGGCATTAAACAACAAACCAATCAACCAATCCAATAAGGGTCAATTGGAATGGACGTAAGGCCTTTACCCAACCTACTCTCTGCAATAGATTTATGTTTTATTATGGTATGTTCGGTGTTCTGACGGGGGGCTAGCTTAGGTCGACTATAGCAGTAGGTTGGTGAATGAGACATGTGCGGGATTCCCGGGCGATATAATATAAAACGCCAGAGAACTACTAGTCTCGAAACTGATTCCATTCCGCGTGAAAGGCAAAATAGCGGTGACACCAGGTGTTCGCGAACAGGGTTAGCATGTGCTGCCCTACCTGTAGCTCCCGCCACTCATACATTGGTCGCACCCGCCACTCACAATTTTCATTAAAACTCGTTTCTTGCCTGACACTGCACGGCAGTACTCCTGCCATGCGACGCCGGCTTGTTTGTTTGTTATTTAACGCCGCACTCAACAATATTCCAGCTATATGACGGCGGTCTGTAAATAATCGAGTCTGAACCAGACAATCTAGTGATTGACATCATGAGCATCGATCCACGCAATTGGGATACGATGACATGCATCGACCAAGTCAGCGAGCCTGACCACCCGATCCCTCCCGTTAGTCGCCTCTTACGACAATCATAGTCGCCTTTTACGGCAAGCATGGCTTGCAGACAAGAACAATCAGAATTACTCACGTATAGGAAACCGGAAATAAATGTGGACAACCATTTCATATTGTTGATATGCACAATGACGTTAATCCTTCAGTTCCGGAATCGTATCACTGGGCAGGGTTTTGTATTGGTTCGTGTTCTAGGACATTGACTGACTGTCATCCAAAATGACCTAAAGATGCATTTCAAATTTGGTTAAGATATAGAATAATGTCCTTTCAAAAGTTGATGAAATATTGAAAATGTACTAATGTTATTTGTCTCATGTAAAACGCCTGCTGCGTTAAGCTGACGTTGCCCCCGTCCATAAGAATAATGTGGCTATAGGCTTTGGTTTCAATACTTTCCTCAGTCGACAGACATGTAGATTTCTTAAATAGATTTGTCAAATTGAGTGCTGCATCTTTTGTTGTAGAAACTACATTATATAAATCGAGATGAACAGGGAACCTTAGACTTATATTTCGAATATACAATTGTTTATGATTATTTATATGTATGAGGGAAGTTATTTCTAAACTGTATTTATTATTGTGTCGGTAGCCTAATAGGCTACAGTGGTGGCTCGATTCCCGTCTGAGTTTTTGAAGTTGGACATGGTTGCTAAGAGCAGTATAAAACCCAGGTCACTTGCTGTGATTGGTCGTATTGTATATGTAGATGGCGAGATACTACTAAAAGCTCAATATTTTCTGCACCATGTTTCAGCAATAATATAATCTTTTTCAGACCTTCAAAGGCAAGGCTGCTGTTTAACTCCGATGGAAGTGTAAAACTGATGGGAGACCTCACCCAGTTCCCAGGGATAGGGGCAGACAAGAACAGCCACACCCTGGTTCCCACGGTGGGTCCTGATGGCAAGATGACCATGCTTCTAACTCCATCAGACGGACGTGGAAAAACCTTCATCCTCAACCCAACCAACGGCGGAAGCCTTCCCAGCCCTAACGTCATTGTAACACCAAACACGCTTGTTTTGGGGAACAAGTCGGCAAACACTCTACCCTCAACCTCCATGTACATGCCAAAAATACTTCCAACACCAACACAGGTGGCCAGTAAGTTTCCACAAGCCCAACTTATTCTTTCAGGGGAACAGCTAAAAGTAGCTTCCAAATCTCCACAAATATCTCTTCTGTCCACTTTTAAAAGTGCGCCAGTGCCTACTACCCGTGCAGACGAGTTTGTGACACATATGCGGATTGATCCTTCGGGCTCTGTTACTTCTACAGTCAGGATTCCATGCTCCAGTTCTCACAACTCAACCTCCACGGCTGCATCCGTGACTCAGTCAGCTCCTGGCACTCTTCCAGGTGCAACCGCGGTGTTGAAACACCTAGCTGAAAAGGTTAGCACCATTAAGAAAGAACCGGAAGAGAATACCTCTCATAGTGATGCAGCTGGTCCAAGGTCTAGTCATCCAGGTGGACCCGAGTCCAAATTGACCAATGGCAAAGACTTCCCTTGCAAGTTTACCAACAACCAGTGGACTAGACTCAACAGCGTTCTGCCAACCAGCGCTCCTTCCACTGTAGTTGTGCCAAATCAAGGGCAGACTGGCGTTGGACATAAACTAGTTAGCACGAGCGCTTTCCCTCAAAGTATTCCTCGAAGGTACATGATTGTACCAAAGAATACATCTGGCGCTATGGAACCGCCTCCCGACCGCCCCCAACCTGCAGGCAATACGACAGACGTGTTTCCTATAACCTCCACTGTCACATCATCATCAACAATGATCTCTAGTGCTGTACCAACGATGATGTTTCCACACAATTATGCTGCAAGTTTGAGTGACAAACGTCCCTCTATGGCGCCAACCATCAGCACCAATATAACTTTGCCTCCCCCACAGCCTTACCCGTTCCTGGGAACCGCCCCCCGGAAGGTTGTGTATCCAATGAACTATGATCCTGTTAAGATTGCACCTTCTGTAAAGCCAACACCGACGCCAACTGTTGTAAAACTGTTATCTACTTCCCCAAAAGATGTGTGTGACAAAGAAAGTTTGACTGATGGGTCTGAGAAATATTTGGATGCTAAGACGGGATGCCTGACATCTGACCAACTGCAGCAGGGCCCTGCAGACCCCGACGATGGTGTTTTGTCAATTAAGATAGACTCAGTATTTTCTTTGGCCGTGAAAGAGGAAAAGCCGGTTAAAACTAAAAAGAAACGTTTGAGAAGTAGCACTAGAAAATGTACTTCAGGGGATAAAGATGAAGATGAGTCTCCAAAGAAACCCGAAGTTGTCATCAAGCAAGAAGCTGGTGTTGAGTCGGAAGTAAAACCATCAGCTAGTGAACCTGAAATTGTCACTTGTCCACCTTCTTATGTTGTTCTTGAACAGTTGTCACAGAGGCAGATTGAAAACCCCAAGCGACACATCATTAAATGTTCCAACTACTGTAGAGTCAGGACATTGAACTTTCTGTGTACACTTGGCTTAGTAAACTGTGAGCCAACAGTGCACATTAGAAAATGTGCATCGAACTGTGAGTCAAGGGAAAACGTGAACCCAAAACGCAAGGAAGTGCAGAAAAGTAAACAGACACAACTGTCACAGTGTGATTCGTCTCTCGATACTAAACCAACCAAACGTGAAGAGGCATCCGGCCCTGAGAAGCTGTCCTCGGCTGGAAGGGATGTTTCTAAGGTCTCGGCTGGAAGGGATGTTTCTAAGGCCTCGGCTGGAAGGGATGTTTCTAAGGTCTCGGCTGGAAGGGATGTTTCTAAGGTCTCGGCTGGAAGGGATGTTTCTAAGGCCTCGGCTGGAAGGGATGTTTCTAAGGTCTCGGCTGGAAGGGATGTTTCTAAGGCCTCGGCTGGAAGGGATGTTTCTAAGGTCTCGGCTGGAAGGGATGTTTCTAAGGTCTTGGCTGGAAGGGATGTTTCTAAGGCCTCGGCTGGAAGGGATGTTTCTAAGGTTAGGAAAGTGGAGAAACCCACAAATCCGAAGATGATCCAAACGGTGATCAAATTTACAAAGATTGACAAAGAGGGTAACAAGGAAAGTTCATCAAAATCAGAGACAGTTCCCGCATCAGCAACAGCTACATCAGCCCCACCCACCACAGTGGCTAGCATCACTGCTGCAGTTCCACCACCTGCTAAAATCCCCGTGTCCTGTGGTCCAGCCATCTCTCAATCTGTAAATACTTCAGCACTCCCCAGCCTAAATGGTGTACCTTTCCGACCGTTGTTAAATGTAGCTAAGGGCAATGTGGTTCCAGGTAAATCTACATTGAGGCTTCCATGTACTATCGCATCCAAGGTGCCGGGTTTTTTAGACACGTCAAATGCCAACAAGAAACAATATTATCTGTTCACAGTAAATGGACAGAATGTTTTGGTTCCAATTTCCAATGACGTTATGAAACCAACTGCGTATATGTTGAAGGGAAATACATTGAGCGCATTATCCAACACGACCTCAGTCACAACGAACACGCCAACTGTATCGACTGCCGCTGGTGGCCCGGGAAACAATCTTTTAGTACAGAGACTTACAACCGCTTTGCAAAGCCAAGCTCTGAAACGTAAGACCGATACTGTTCCTCAGCATACACCGCCTAGTAAAGCATCCAAGCTGACAGAAGAGAAGGTGGATACAGTCAAACCCACCCCGGAACAACCAGCAGGGATTCGGATCAAGCCCGAGCCTGTAACACACGGGTATGGGGATGAAAAACCCTTGGAATCAACACCCAGGAAAAAGGCAAGGAAACAAGAAGTGAAAATCAAACAGGAACCCGTTGATACTGAATGGCGGGAGGTGTGGAGCACTAGTGCCGTGCCAGTGGAGCATCCCGATAATGCGCCGACTCTAAAGAAACAGTCACCAACGTCTACAACAGTGTCAAGAGATGGCTCTGCTTCCACGCCAGGAGGGTCGCGGTCTGAGGATACCATGCCTACTCTTCCCATGATGCAACTTCCCAGTACGAAAGACAGAGCTCACAAGATGGCTGCCCACAATGACCGCGTGGAGCGTCTCAAGGCTGTTCTGAGGCAGAAGGAGAAAGAAATTGAGGATTTGAAGAAGAAAAGGGTGGAGGATGATTTCTATGGTATTGACGACAAAGAATGTGACACACACCGAACGCTAGAAGACGTGAAACATGTACATACTGTGAAGACTGAATCTGTGTCAAGATAGTGGTGAACTTCAATGGAATGACCAGAAGTCCTTACAATAATGTCATATAAATAGTCGAATAGTTATGTGTCAGCAATTTCATAGATTACTGTAATTTACTGTTACGTTGTTTGTAATATCTGTGATAATTATATGATTTTTATATCATTATTATTTAATATGACATAATAGTTCCATATGAAAATGTATTGGGTGGAGAATACACCCTGATTTGTGAGGCATGCCAGTTCCTTTATCTAAAATCAGGGTTATGAGAGTGTTACTCCAAACGGGATTGCAGAATATTTAGGAACCATGAATGTATCACAGTGAAATCATATGCATCAAAATGTTCATCGTTCAAAGTTACACAACAAGCACCTCCCAGTCTAAATACCAAAGATTATATCAGTCAAGATGTGAAGTACGACACGTGCTGAACAATTCCATGGACGTCGTACAAAACGCTTACTGTTATCGCCTCATATGCTCATATTTCTGAAACCTAACCAGCAACCCATGCTTGTCGTAAGAGGCGACAAACGGGACTGGGTGGTCAGACTCGCTGACTTGGTTGATACGTGTCATCGTATCCCATGCGTAGATCGATGCTCATGATGTCAATCACTGGATTGTCTGGTCCTTAATAGATTATTTACCGACCGCCGTCATATAGCTGAAATATAGCTGAGTGCGGCGTTAAACAACAAACATAATTCTAAGAGGATCACATAATGCTGACGTGAAGAAACTGTTGTATATGTATATCCAATGCTTGAATGGCCGTACGTTCTTTGCATAATCAACTGCTGTGTTTTGTCAACATGAAACATATTAATTGTTTTCATAAATTTGTATATATTTCCACATGTCCTAAGTTGTACCCCTTATCTGTGCCGGAATCCGCTGATCGCTATTTCTAATCTCAGATTTATCCCGATTATGATCCTTGGTTTGTCGGCATTATGTACCTGCCCGTCACAGCTGACACTTGTCGTAAGAGGCGACTGACGGGATCGGGTGGTCGGGCTCGCTGACTTGGTTGATATATCCCAATTGCGTGATTCGAAGCTCATTATGTCAATCACAGGATTTCTGATCCTGACTCGATGATTTACAGACCGCCATCATATAGATGTAATATTGCTGAGTGCGGCGATAAACAACAAATATACAAACAAACACAACTGACAGCCGTGGTATAACTGAAATACCGTTCCTGGCACTGTAAAGCCCAACTCCAACCCACTGCACATTTGTGGAACAAGAAGTTTTGTGTATGTCATTTCTATCACCTACATCATGGAACATGTTGACATTTTAAATAACACTGTGTAGGTGACACTACTCCCAGACAAATGATCACATAATTTCTTCTGATCACTGTCTGATATTTTAGTTACGCCTCAGCACCCCTCAGATGATGACTCTTTGTTTCCGATAATTGAACGTGAGTATTGCCATGTTTACACTGCCAGTGTTAGGACAAGATATTGTCTGGTTTTATTATGTTCTGTATGATTGGATATGATTGGGTGGTCCACTTTGTGTCCACTCATCCGATTTGTTGAACAAAGGAATGTATGTAAATTATGAGTAATTATAGCAATTACAAATATGGTATGGTGATTACAAGTGTTGTTTTTTCCACTGCAAATACAGTACATATGAAGGATGAAATACGACAGCATGAGGATACCACGTGACCTGAATGACCCCCGGCAGAGACCAAGTTGTGACCTTCCCCCACCGAGCATGATCATGTCCTTCGCACTTGTCACATTCCAAACAGCCTGCAACATTATCCGCTAACCTGCATCCTTAAAGCGCTCAAATAAATTAAAGCCAATTCTCTTCTAAAAGTAGTCCACTGCATGATTCCGAGTATATCATGAGCACGTGTTTCTGAATCACTATCAAATAGTGATGGTACCAGGAGTTCACGAAAACGTGAACGGATCCTGTCCCCACCGGGGGTACCCGTCACATACGCATGCAAAGGCATGTCAAGTGTTCACGTAACAAAACACGGGAACATGAGTCACAATATGGAATTGCATCGAACACTGTCGCTGTTACTTCAAATGTCTTCTCCCAGAAAACCTTTTTGAAAGCTTTGATGAGGCCTTGAATGTTGTAACCTTTATCAAACAACTTTTGAGCGAGTCGTATGACCCTCTATGCAATCGTAGAAAGAGCATGCTCGGTTGGCTCTCAAATGTTTAGAAATGTGGACGCCAAAGGCTGGAACTGTTGGAATACTGCTCCGCATAAAGGGAAAGTTGAGATTTCAAGCACAGCTAAGAAGTGACCATCTCTCAAAGCTGAAATCTACTTACATAGTGGGGAAGGACCGCCACAGACTGCAAAATGGTTATTGCTCACCCCTGACGGACATTGCTTCTCTTTAATATCTAAAAATATCGAAATTATAACGATATGGAGAGTCATAAGGTGATGCATATTCCGTTGGAGTCACTACAGATTAAAATTATTTCGGGTATAATACCATTCTGTAATGCAGAAATCACTCGATTCTGTTGTTTCCGTAAGTAAAATCAAGAACCCCTCCCTTTAAGGATCGTTTATTCTTCTTCCGGGATCAACAGATTCGAGTGATGTCTGCGACTGATACTATTTTATGGTTGCTATATAATCTCTATGATTTTGCATAAAGACCTAGAGTTGCATGAGTTTTAATTCACTATATGCACGTTCACTGTGCCCTGTAGAATCCAGTATTCATTTGAAACAACAATAGCATGACGCCATCATGATGGTTTGAAAAAACACGATTCAACAAAGCCGGTCAGACATGGACGTTGAAATCATGAAAAAGATAAGACCATCCTCAAATAAAGCTTCAATGTTCGTGCATACCATGACCAACATACACTACATCAATATGAGAATTTTAAGCGTTCTACACATATGCATGACATGGAATCATGCAACACCGTCTAGAAAAAGATGCTGTCGTCATCCAATCTCGTTCAAATCTCTTGTGAACCCTGGGAGAACTTTAACCGCCCAATCAAAATGAAGGATGGGTGTATTTTGATCCAACCAAGATGGCAGCTTTCTTATTTGGCTTAATTATATCAACACGATCCGTTGTCAATCGCTTATTTTTGTGCGGGGTACATGTCTTTTTCACATCCCCGAATCAGAAATGTCGAAAAAGGAAAACCCACCCAAATACAAATGTTCCCTCGCTTGTACACCATTTTGGATGAAGATGCTCAGAAAAAAGCATTAATTGCCCACAGCATATCGTGACTATCTCCATTCGTGACTGACCGTTTAAGTTCGTTTTCGAGATACATAGACCATATGCTTCGCTCGAACGTAAAATGTATTTAGAAGCCTCCACGCTGAATCGACGTGACACCGTGGGGTTGTCTGAAATCATGACGCAGGTATCGCATCGGAATATAGGATTTTAATGAGTTTAGAAGTGTCGTCATTGGGGTAAGGAACTCAGATTTGATTGGTTGTTGTTTAGAAATGAGTTACACAGCCGTTTGGAATGTAACTGAGACACATGTGATGCAACATATACATCTTCACGGTTTAGAAAAGTACCCAGCGATTTAAAAAGAGTGTTTTTCCCCTTTTTCGATTTGTTATGAGAAACGGTGCCCTCTGCGAAGATTGCGATCGTGCAATAATTGGAAAACCCTAGAAAAATGTGTCACCCTGGCGTCGCGTGCTTCAATAAAGGAGTATGTTTAGCTTCGGGATCATAATTTAGCAAAACTTAGGTTGTAAACGAAATACACTCACAGGCTAAAGGAACGACACCAACCTTTAAATAATAATTTGTCAAAATTCAAGCCAAATGCTGTTTAAAAAATTGCTGTACATTAATCACGCAACATGTGTTTCTGAAAGCCCCAATTCTGGTCACGCATCTCGTGCAAAATGACTTTAACCATTAAAGTTTGCATCTTCCCGGAGCAAGCGTGTCCAATAGCCTCTACCAAAGCCTAGTTTCTACCCTTGCCACATCAAGGCCATTTTTTACTCGATTCTGGCGCAGATCACGAGTTGTGCTCCATGTAATGAAAACGCGATATCCAATCAGATCGCAAATCGTATTTCGAATGGTTTCACACAGATTGCGACTATCAAAGGGGACGACCTAGTCGATCAGATAATGAAAACATTCGCGATTTCACCCCTGACAGACAGACGCAGGCAATCGTGAAGATGGGGGGGGGGGGGGGGGGGGGGGACATCTTCGTGCCAACAAAGACAGGCAGCGGTAAATCACTTTCACACGAATATGTACCAGTCATGTATGTGGATTTTGTGAAACGTCTCTTATTGGGCCAGCGAAGGTCCAATCATATTTGGCACAGGATCGTGGGCTTGATATGACAAGAGTGGAAACAAGACTTTGATGAAAAGGAAAGTTTGATGCACCTGAAAACACACTGTTTGGACAGATAGGGTATGGTCGTAGCGAAACTGTCTTCTGTGACACAACGACCATGTCAGTGTATCGAAAGAAGTGAGAGAAAGTGCACGAGGCGTGATAGAGATGGGAGCTACACGTGGCCACGTGTCAGATTTTCCGGTTGTACCCGCACTCCAATCTGGAGGTTGATGACATGCTGGCAATACCGCGGACAGGCCCAGGAGTGCGTGACCATCAGTCACGAAGTCCGGTATCAACGCATCGTACACCAGGGAATAAATTCGTCACAGTGACGCCATCGTCAGCAACTGCCCTTTGATACCCTGTCAGTCGAAGAACTGTATCGAGACTACACAAAATGGTATTCGTGTCTTACCGCGGAAAAGCCTTCACGCTTCGACATCAACGTCAAAGATTGAGGTGGGCACGGACCGCCAGCCAGTAGCAGAACAAAAACTAGGAACGGACACTCTCTCCTGACGAAAGTCGAATACATCTCTTCAGTCCTGATGGAGACCCTGAAGATCCGGGGTAGAATAGGTCTTCTGTAACCCATTCTTGCATTCTTGCCCTAAAATGTGAATATGCTTGTCGTAACAGGCGACTAATGGGATCGGGTGGTCAGACTGGCTGACTTGTTGATGCATGTCATCGTATTCCAATTGCGTGTTTCGATGCTCATGATGTCAACCACTGGATTGTCTTGTCTATACTCGATTATTTACAAACCGCCGTTATACAGCTGCACTATTGCTGAGTGCGGCGTTAAACAAACAAAAAAACAAACGTTCGAGGTCTGACGTACTCCGCTCAAGGTGGAGTGTACTGATGGACGTGGTTGGCACACACGATATTGACACATATTTGAATGATCGAATACCGGACAACTTACCCACCCTCATAAACGTGCCCCACATGCGCTGTATTTCCTTAATTTACCATTCAAAGATTTCTTATCTTCATGCAAAATGATGTTTGACATTTACAACTATCATGTCTCAACTATCTTGTCTCTTCTTTCAATGATCGTCATATCATGCTTCGTTTCTGGGGGGCACGGGTGGCCCAGTCGTCTAAGGCGCCGCGCTGTGCAGAGTTGCGTCCCTTGGGCAGGCCAGAAACCAATGATTGTGGGTTCGAATCCCGGTTCGCCCCGATTATGTTTCTAGGTTTGTCAGCACCATACCCGTGCTCGTGGGTTTCACCGAAGTGGTAAACGTCTGAGGCCTGCATCACTTCGGGCTTTCCTCCCACATTAAGTTGACACGCCGTGATATAACTGGAATACTGTTAAAAGCGCGGTTAAACCCAACTCACTCACTCACTCGTATAGTTTCTTGTGCCCGTGAGTGTCCTTTGGTTCAATTACAACAGTCCATATAACCCGCGAACACGGGCATGGAACATACAGGGAAAATCAGATTTAATACCACGACCAAAAGTGATGCAACTCTGATTACGGCGCCTTTGGGGACTCATTGCCCCGTTCTTAAGAATTACTGAAAATACCACAGGGATCACATAGCTCCCCCCTCCCTTGTTAAACCAATGGGGTTATGGCGATTTAGTGTCCGTATATTTCGATCATTTAAACTCTACCGCAGTGACTAATACAAAAAGTACAACCTCATTATCGCTGTCGTGAGCTTCTGCCATGTGTGACCCACTTGGGGACTCAATGGACAGATA